ACCTTCCAGCACCCCACCCAGGGACTCTAAGAAGGCTGGGTACTCTGATCTGCCACTCGGCGCATAAGCGCAGATGACAGTCAGGACCCGTTCCCCAACTCTAAGGCGCAGGGAACAAATCCTCTCATCCACTGGGAAAAACCCCAACGTACCGGCAGCAAGCCGAGGGGATATTAGAATACCCACCCCATCTCGCCGCCTCTCACCAAGGGCAACTCCAGACTGAGACAGAGTCCAGCCCCTTTTCATGAGACTGGTTCGAGAGCCCAAGCTATGCGTAAAGGTGAGCCCGACTATATCTAGCCGGTACCTCTCAACCTCACGCACTAACTCAGGCTCCTTCCTGGGAGCCCCTGGGATCCCTGGGACACACAAACCCCTCCACCATGATAAGGTAGCGATTCATGGACAGAGCTGATTTAAATGGCAACTACCACCTCAAGATGTCTTTAAGTTCTCCGGAGGCCTGGTAATGAACTAATCATTTGATTAAGGTGTGCTGACCCAGGGTGATATCTAAAACCTGCAGGACTCCTGCTTTAAAGGGTATAACTCAAATTGATGTTCATTTTCTTTAAAGCTAAAGAAATACTGCTAAAACAATAACAAATCCATAGACTGTATAACTTAATATTTTCACTGATTTGGAAAGAAAAATATTTGGGAAACAAGAGAAAAGAAGTGTGAAAACTAAAGTGCTTATTATTTTTATCCATATTAAGTACATAAAGCTTAACTATACCAACTGACGGGGTTGTAGGTTTGCTATAAAGAAACTATACAGAAAGTGTGTGCCAGGAAAGTGAACATAATGTTCATCAGTCCATAATAAATAGTCTTACTCACGTTAGTGTGCGGATGCATTTGGCCGAGTCCCGAATGTCCCAGACTTTGATGTAGGAGGTAGAGACGGTAAAGACCAAACTAGAGCTATAACGGACTGACACAACATTGTTGGGGTGACCTGCTAGAGACATTATCTCCTGACCCGTCACCAGATTCCACACCTTACAGGTCCGGTCTGCAAATTAAAACACCATCTTGTCATTTTCACTGTGATTTATGATAACATTAAAATACCGAGAACATTTCTGAGAACGGGATGTCAAAACTGAAGAGCGCAACAACAAAACTAATGGGATAAAATTTATCATGGTGCAAGGGATACAAAACAAAATCCATTTTAACTGACAGCAAAACTAAACAGAGCTGGACAGCACCTTCTTGCACTTGGAATGCACAATTAATCCTGCTGGGATAAATTGGCACTCTAGCCGATTTCCTGCACATTTAAATCCATTTGTTATGCTTAAAAGCTCCATCACCATAACAATGTTGTGGCTTGGACAATGTCATTTATGTTCCATCACCTCATTTATCCACCATATGACAATCCTAATTAATCCTAATTAATCCTTATTGGCTTTTATATGTGGTGTGATGCTGTTATATAATAACACAACACCATGTCCAAGTGTAATAAATTACCATAGCTGTAACAAGAAGGCATCTGAAGAATACTGATTAGAGGTGTAAGATTAGAATCAGGAGGTGAAAGAAGGAAGGAAGGAGGGAGGATTGTGAGCATTAACCTTTGGATCCTGTGAACAGCAGGTCGTCAGTGCAGTCAACACATAAAACAGCTTTACTGTGTCCCTCCGCCACATGAACACACTGTAATGTCGACGACCGGCTGCTCTTGGTGGGTGGGACCGGGTTAATGACGCCCCTGGAAAACAAACAAACCACCATCATAAAGGGCAGCATTACACATGGCAAAGTAAAAAAAAGAAGAAAAAAACCTCCAACAAATTCACACAACAGACTCATGCAGCTCTCTCAGTGATGCAAACCAAAAATAGAAAGAGATGAAAATAAGAGAAAAATGATGAGACAGCTGTGAAAGAAGTCACCCTTGTGTTGAAAGAAAGGAAAGACAAGCCAAGAACCTATAAATAATCGAGACGATTTCTTTTGCAGCCTATAATTGATTGAAACACCCAAAGAGCCGAAGACAGGTGATCACTGGAAACCCGTGGAGTCTTCTCATCGGGGACTGAGAATTCTGCAGCATCTCAGTAAGCCTGGTTGATCACTAATTGGCTGGCTGTGATAGTGTAATTGTAAAATTTCATAACCAGCGAATCTGCAGCATGAGCTATCCAAACGGTGACACTTATCATTAGTAGGTTTTTGGTCTTCAGGCTTGAAGCATGAAAAACTTCACAGATGTGAGAAAAAACAATGGCAGGAGAGGACTGCAGAGGGTTCAGGTTCAATACCAGCAATGCACTAAACACAGTGACGCTGTTTGGCTTTGTTCCAATTATCTTATGGTCTTAGAGAAGACATCCATTCATTGATTTTAATCATGTTTTAACATGTTTGTTTTTTTCCTGGGTAACTCTCACACAAAGTTGCCAAAGCAGTGGGGGAGGAAACCCCAGAGAGAACAAAACCAAAGAACAGCCCTGCAGCCTGCAACAGACTGGCGTGCTCCAGGAACAAGCTCCAGCCCGACTCTCACCATGAACTGGCTAAGGGGAAGAAAACAGATGGATGGATAGGTATGGCAAATCAGCAACAGCCCAAAAATAAATAAAGTATTCATACTTGTTTGGATCAGAGAGTGGAGCAAAGCTACAGTAGCAGGAAGCTGAAGGACAGGTGGAGGCATCCCTGAGGGGATGATATTCTGATATTCCTGGGGGCTGATTAGCTACTGATTATAAAACTAACTGCTTCCTATTCCTGAGTTCCTGAGTTGTTAGCTGCAGTGCAGCCTCGAGAAGAGCTAATTGTAGTGTGAGCGTGTACCCATGAATAAAAAGGCATTTTAAAAACATAACACATGGGAGGAATACATTTTAGTGTAATATACTGAGCATCTATATTTTCCATACCCATCAATTACTTCTGCCTTCCATAAAGCGGTTGGAATTATACAGATTTTTACCAAATTGATTTAGTAATAATTTAATAAGTTTTTACTTCCAAATCTGATAAATTATGTCTTCACATATATAATGAAGTTGCACACACACTGAGAATGTGCTTTCCATTAAGCAGAGTGTAGCAGCTAATATAACATGACTTACATGTACACCTATGGATTGTGGATGGAGAAGTAGGAGTGCCTTTTAGAATTTGCAAGTGCTTTATTAGTTTGTTAGAGGAGCTGCAACTTTGATTAATAAGTGTGACAACTGTGGCTGAAAGGCCTCTTCTCTGCCACATCTCAGCTAACTGAAGTCACTGAAGTGGATCTCTCCAGTTCAGAGGAATCAGATGACAAGCATTTTCTGTTTGCTATCGATATGGTCTAAGAAGCTTGTGCATTTTGAGTCCTCGACCTGAGTGTTTCCATCACAGCCATCTTGGTTGAAAAAAGCTTGATGTGATGAGGTGGTGCAGTTCTGACTCTATAACTTGCTAATAATTAGTGAGTGACAAGCTATCCAATGAGCATGTGGTTTTAATACCACAGATAAATCTCTCTTTGGTAACAGACTTTTTAAAAATTCGATATGACACAAAATGAGTGACTGAGCCTATAAACTCAACAGGACAGTGTTTACAGAGGTCAAATCAAAGCCATTTTCCCAGAGACTTCAATAGCACCAGACATATTTTGTAAACACAACACCTCGCGGCTTTCAGCGTACAGATTTAAGGTATTTTCACACTGGCTTCTTTTTTCCATTACAGAAGCCACGACTATGTTTTATACCATGTATTTTAAGCGTTCGCACCAATTGAGAGATGTCAATGTCTCTGGGCTACAAACATTGCTGGACTAAAGCGCTAAGTTTGAGCCTTTAAAATACAAAATCTGAAACTAAATAGATGTCACAGTGGCTACCTATATCTCTTCTGCAGTCTTTTAGCCAAAGAATCAAAAACAATATGGTCTTAAATGTTTCTACACACATATAGGCTCCACTTTACAATGGTACAATATGCTTTTATAAACTTTGAATGTCTGACATTGCCTTTTATTATATTTATGTACAAAATCCACATGTATTAACCAAAACATCATTGCAGTTACTTGGGACAGAGTAAGCATTTGGCCAGCATTTAACAAAATAACATTTCAGGAAGCCCATCTGATCCTGCACAACATTTGCAGTATGCCTTAGGTAACCTGTCATACAGCTTAAGTGGCTATTGAGAAAAGCAGTAGGGGAGAGACAGCAAATGGCAGGCAGCTCTTCAGGTTTCTGAAGGTAGGCAGAATCACTTCCAATTAAGCTACTGCATAATTAAACTGTGGACTAAGCTGTTAAAACACTGCTGGCAGGAGTGTGGCAGGACTGCATGAAGAGAGCAGATGCACATGCTGCATTTATGTCATCGAAGCCACCAGCAGCAGGATGGTTTTGGCAGTAAAGCGTTGTCACTTGTTCACACTCATCTGAAGCTAATAAGGATTACTGAAATGTTTGCTGCTCAGTCTGGTTTCTTAAGATTACCAGTTGGTTGACAGTGTAAGCAACTATCATTCTGTCAACAAATCATCATGCCATTAAAGTTCCTGTTTTACAGCAACAATTTATTCTCTTTTTACACAATAGCTTGGCAGACCTCAGGCATTTATTACCCTTGTTTCACTGAAAACCTTATTTATATGTAGTCCTAAATCCTCCAGTTCAACAGGTTTTACCATCTTCCCAGCATACGCAACACTTTTCCCCCAAATCCGTCTTTAATGAGGTCAAATTAGAGCTCTGGGAGAAAAATCTGAACACTGTAATTTTTGGAATATATTTAAAGAAAAATGATTCATCTCGTGTCAAAACAGCTTTTAATGACTGCTTAAATCTAACAATAGCTGAGCATGTGTGTGACTAGACTGCCCACCAGAAAGAAATTGGTGGATGGTGGATGAAAAAAAGGAGGAGAAAAATGAGGCGACTCGTTTTAACAAAAATGTCATGTTTAGCCTGAGGGTGGTGGCAGAGTAAATGCCATGCTGTAGCCTCGAGAGTTTATCCTGTTGGGTGTCCTTGCCTAATGGTCAAAACACAAACAATTTAAATGCAGCAACCCAGGATGCTTCCCATACAAGGTGGCTTGTTGCTGGCATTTTCCTGCCATGTCATAAAAACACATACATAAACTTGTAAAAGATCACAAACAGCTCTTGCAAACTATATATGACATTTAATATTTGTACATGTATATTTTTATCTCTCTCTTCTTCCTTTCCACCTTATCCTCTTCACCTCAAGTGTCACCTCCTGAAATGATATCAGGGCTCTAATAAACAAAAATGTGCATAAACATGTTTCATTATTTTGAATATTGTCACAATTACTTATTGTCAGCAGATTAGACAATAAAACTAAACCAGAGCCTTGCTGGTTATAAGCTAACATTATTCCAACTAATGTTGGACTCAAATGTTTAAAAAATAAATAAATAAATCACACTTTCCCTCTGAGTTTATTCACCAAGTGTCCGAGTCCAACAACGTTACAGCGACTGCAAAGAAAGCTGCTCTTAGCTGGTGTCACTGAAACTAAGTGCAACAAAATCCACTAAAACTCAACAACTAACCTCAGTCTTGTCATTAGACATCAGTGAGCTTCACCGATTCATAAACTCGTATCAGACTCAGAAGGTTTACAGCCTCCTCCAGATTAAATGGATGTAAACAAGCAGCATACTGCTGAGGTAAACGGCAGATTTGCAGTCTACACTTGACAGCCAGCATTGTTTGTCCTTAACCGACCACTGTATCTAGGATTAGGTGCTTAAAATTGGGAAGGGTAAGAATAGAATTCAGTTGACTGCAATCTACTGACATCTAGTCATGAGCTTTTATACACTACCTTTAAGCAGTAACCCTCAAAACCACTCCAATCAAGACTCTTGGGTATAATTACAGATACTGACATAATGCTCACATGTAATAATTATGATTCCTAAATAGTTAATGCAATGTTATTTTTCATTATTTTGACAAACCACTGTCAAAGTCTGTACTACAAATACATCTTGACCACTTTCACAGCACTAATATTTTTGAAGTTGCTCATATTCTAAAACAGGACGACAGGCAATGAAGAAGAATTCTTAAGATATAATCAAAAACTGCTGTCACTATTTTTCAGTTGATGCACAGCCAGTTTTATAATAGCCGTTCGCTCACTGTTCAATCTTTCTATTTGAATCTTACGCTGGAAAACTTACTGGTGAGATAAAGAAAAGTAAAGAGTGCGATTTCTGAACAGAACGTCAGGAGCAAGCGGATCAATTAGCAAGCAAACAATGAATTTGATCCCAAACTATCAAAAATACAGTAATCACCAGCTTTCAACATTAGAGCTCAGAGAAGATACGTGTTATTTAAGTTAGGCTGGGAAAAAATTACTTCAAATGAAGCATAGGGCTTGGCATGTGACGGCCATCAAACAAGATGCAGAGCATTATGTAGGTGACACCACATGCTTTCCCAAACCAGGAAACCAGAAGGAGGAGTATTAGTAGGGTCAACGTGAAGTAGTTTTGTCTTTAAGCTCTGTAGCCACGATGATGGCATCAAGCTCTTACTGTTTAATGTCCTTGACCTTTGCCCTTTCAGCCGCTGCTTGTGCCTTGTCATAGGTCTTCCTGCGCGAGAGCGGGGAAGGCTCAGGAGCTCGCTTTTCCATGCCTGGCAGATTTCTGGAGCCAGAACTGAATGTTCAGTTTTACCGATTTATCCACAAACAACACAGATAATATAACAAAAAAAAGATTTTTAAAACAAATGGAAATGAAACCAATACAAAATAATGGCAACAATGACGAGATGAGCATGCAGTACACACAGAAATACAGTTACCTGATGTTACAGTTCCAAAACAGTGATGGTTCTTCGTCAAGCTCATGTTTAACAATGAGTGCAGTGTGTGCTGCACATCCACAAATATAATTTAACTGTATCATTTTTGATGGATTATTATCAGCTAAGGTTTATTCTTACATAAAGCAACTGGCTCCATTTTAAAGCACTGCTTGTCACGAGACATTTAATGCAGCCTGGTTAGTATTTATTTTATTAGTGTGCAACTGACCTGGAATAAGGAACGGCAAGGGAGACTTTTGCAGGGCACAGTAATAATCAAGCAATACAAAATATTTGCTCGTTTCTACATGCTTTTCTCAAATAGATTCATCAATTTCTGTAAGGTATAGCAAAATGTGAAGGTGCTTGTAAACAATATATAACCAAATAAAGCAAAGAAGCGCAGCAACAACATGCAGGAAAAAGAGAAGAGGAATTAATCTGTTAGTGAGAGTGCAGGGCCTGAACTTACATGCTGCCTATTTTAGAGGAAAAGCCAGGGGAGAGAGCTGCGTAGTCCCTGACTGAGCCTGACAAGTCCATGTCTCCGCCCGCATCGGGTGTTTCAGCTAACGGCAACATCGGACTAGAAAAGTCGACAGTAGGTGCATCAGGGGCAGAGTCACTGTTAGCGTAGAGCAACTCCATCTGCGTGGTCGTCCTCCTGCGTGCCTGTACAGCACAGATAAGTGAATAATTAAAAGTACAGAAATGGTTTTAGGATAAGGCATCAAACATGTGCAACAAACTCTACAATACCTTATTCCTTGTTTTGGTCTCTCCACAAAGTTTCATGAAATCTGTAGCCAGAGTGCTGGAGGAAATACAGACAAGTTTTTTAATGCAAACACTCATTAAACAATGTGCTTGGACTTCACTGCTCCTCTCTGCTTTACTACTTTGCAGTATAATTAAACAATACTTCTCATAATTAACAAGTTAATTATAAGAATAGTATAAACATTAATGTGAACCTAAAAGACAAAATGCAATTTCATTAAAAGAAACAATAAAACATCATATGTATATAATGCAATAATATAACAATTCATGAACTACCAAAGCAACTTAACATAAATGTGACAAAATATGCCACAAGATAATATTTTAAATCTACAAATACATTGTATAGTACTTTTTAAGCACTATAACAGACTTACTTTCCCTCTGCAGAGGGGCTCTGGGCAGATTCGTCACTGCTGCTATCGTCCCCGTTTTCTGTCAGATGAGATCCGTGAACAGAGAATATTAGATGGAGTGATTTAGCTGAGATGACTGGTCAGCTAAAATGGTTCTTAGTAAGTATACTTTGCTAGAGACTTAAATAATTTAACTTCTTTATTTTAACCTTTGCAATTTTGATTTCTTTTGTATAACATGTAGAAAAATGAACAGATGAAGCAGATGAGGGGTGATGTCAGCACAGCGCCATGCTGTTTAATTGATAAACCTGGCCCCCGCCGAGCTCATTAATACCAGATGGCTCAAAAACAGATGAGGTTCAAAGTCAGAGAGAGGTCATATTGGGAAGATTTTAAAGAGACATGTAAGGGAGCTGATATGAATGTAAAAGAACCAACATGAGATAACAGGGTGGAGGAGTGCAAGAAATCATTAGTCTGCTGGTCCTGATGGGTCAGCTGACCTACAAGGTCTAACAGAGCAAAATATCCACGTTATATGGTTCCTGTAGAAGAGTCTGGGGTTAGCAGGTGCTAAAACATGGAGGCTGTAGCACATGTGAGCTGCAAGGAGGAGGGGGAGGACAGAGGGTAGGAGGAGTGTATCCAGATAAGGAGAGGGGAAAGCTTCAGCCAACACATGGAGGGGAGCCTGGTTGCACCTCATGCACCTGTTTATGTTATGTTCAGTTAGTTCTTAAAGTGCAAAGGGAAGGAACCATGCATTCATAACCGATTAGAGTCCAATAGGGTTTTCACTTACCAGGCGGGATGTTACCTAGCTCTGTAAACACATAAGAAAACAAAAAAAGGGAAAAGAAAAGATGGGGGAACAGAAAAAGGCAACGCACAAATCAAAAACCATCCCCCAAAATTCGAAAAAATAAATAAATAAATAAATAGATAAAAAAAAGATATAAAAATAAAATAAAATGCACCAACTGTCAGAGCATCCTACCGAACAGAGGCTGGCAAATTCAATATCAAAACAAAAAGAAGTAATCAGCTTTAATTACAAACATGTAAATAGAAACCGTATTATACTAATGTGATCGTATATACTTGTGTACACAGCACCAAAATGTAACCATGGAATTAACTGTCGGTTATACAACAGGGACGCCAGCTTCTATTCGGCAGAAGGCAACAAGCAATATCATCTCAAAAGGCCCAATCATGCAACTGACCAGTTACCCAGTGCACCTCCTGACAGCAAAATCATTTCTAACAAGAGTATGAAAGCAACATTTATGCTGCTAAATTTAAACACATACACTCAGGGAGAGAAATAGATCTAAAACATCCCAGAATTAAATTCTAATCTCAGCTTTGCCTAGCATGATATCAGTGACACTTTCAGTGGGTGGGCAGGGCCTGGTCCAAACTGGATACGTTTTTATTTTATTGTATCTTTTCATTATTTGTATTCTACCTTGCAAAGCATTCCCGAGCAGCGCGTCCAGCTCTGGGTTAAACTCTGCCTTCTCCTTCAGCATGTGAAAGAGCAGCTGGTTCTGTGTGGCGCTGGTAATTTCGGTCTGCTTCAATCTGCCCTCCATCACCTTCACCTGAGACTCCCTCTGAGCTGCCTGCAGGCCCTGAAGAGGTCAGACCACAGTGTCAGGCCATTTCATCTGCATTTCATTTCATTTTTTGGTTAGAGTTGGAAGTTTCTGAGTTAATGCATGGAACAGATGCTACAACTTAATATCATGCACATATGCAAATGCACTTGCATGTCATATTGCTGATACTTGGGCTGTATGACTACTGTACAGCAGTGGCTCTGAAGTATTTAGCCCCAATACAGATGTGGCAATTTATATCAGTTATTAACAATAAAAAAAATGATCCAAGTTGAATTTTGGTTAAATAAAAGATCAACAGTGAAGGAACAAACAACATCTTCTCCCCTGGTCGCTTACAAACCACCTACAGTCAACTGGTGTCCTACAGTTTCTGTAGGACACCTGCATTTCTTTCTACATATAGAGGTTTCTACTATTTTGCACATAAAAGATACGTAAGCTAAATAACATCTATGTATAATCATGTTTGTTGTATGTTATTCATAAGGAGAGGAAATGGTGATGTTTTCACTGAACAGGTGTGATTTCTCTTTCTGAAGGAGGGTACCTTGTTAATTGCCATTGACATGAAGTGATCAAGGAGAAAACGAGCCTCTGTCAGTGTACAAGAACCAATCACAGCAGAGACGTCCACAGAATCACCCTCCTCCTGGAAGAAAGAAAAAGTAAAATTTGAAGACCATAGTTAACAGAAATGAAATTCAAATTTCCAACCTTGTTAACATGCCCATATGTTGTTTATTATGTGCTACAATGTATATTTTTAGCAAAATAATCAGAGAAAGCCACTTTTTCTCTTGGAACTGGAGTCCACGGTACTTCAGGCACTGTGTTTGTGCTATGAAGTTACTGTTATAGTTTCAGTATTGACTCTTTCATAGTTTTCCTGACAGTAAAAATGTGTATGGGCTCTCCTGAGTTAGAGTGAAACACCCTTTATACAACTTAAAAAAGAAGAAATACAAAAGAAAAATTTAACTATTTTAAATCAAAGATATATTCTTTCAAATTCACGTTCCACAGTCTATCCATTTCTTTTATATAGATGGTATCTGGCGAACTCCCCTCTGCCCAAGTTTTGACACTTCACTATATAATCAACAAAGATGCGATTTGACGACCATTTGAACAGTTTCCAGGTTTTCCCGAGGGTCGTCCTATTAATCTGTATAGGCAGAGATCACCATCACTAACTGCTGATTCACACCCGGTCATTTTATTCTGGAAGCAGGCCTGAAAACGTCTCAGTTCAGAAAAAAAAGGGTTAAAACAAGCTAAACAACCCGTCTGAGGTTTTCAATATCTGGCTGCCAATTTCCAGAATCAGCAGGCTCTCTCACCTTGGTTTCCTCCATCTGCATGATGTTGGCCTGACAATCTGCAATACTGTCATTAATATAGTCAATGTTGGCTGTCAATGCTTCCACTTCCTCATTGATGGGAAGAACAGTCTTCTCTGCCTCTGGCCCCTCTCTGAGCAGCCGGTCCCTCTTCCTGAGGACCTTCTCCTTGCGCTTGGTGAGCTCCTCCCTTTGCTGTGTGTTAAAAATGAAACAAATTCTTATATATTTTCAATCACTGAGTCTTTTCTGAATATGGGAAAAGTCACAGACAATGATTAAATTAACCTAAAGCAATGACATGTTCTTTGAAGCTCATTGATAAGGAAACACACAAGGATGCAGAGCCATATTAAATGAAACAACTGTTTTTGCTGCATTAAGCTTAACAACAGCCACAAGGTCATAGATTTTAAAAATTTCCCTACTGAAGATAAAAGAACAATTTAATGTCTTCCAGGCATCTAAGCAAGATATCCTTTAGGTCTTTCTCCTGATCTGCTAACATTCAAAATCTATATAACTGTCCTGCTTTAGGTTTTTACCTTGAGAAGGCGGTTCATGTCGGTTTCCATATTAGAGATGGTCATCCTCTGCATGATGACATCAGAGATACGCCGCTCCAGGGACTGCCATTTGTTGCGAGCCATTCTGGTGCTGTAAACACTTCCTGTGCGCCTGTAAGAAGACCTGTACATGCAGCATCACTCATCAGTAAACTGTCTGATTAATACAGCCACTTATTTAACACCTAAATGTACAAATCCAGGGAGAATGTAGAAAGTGATGACGAGGCCCACTTAAGAAACCCTCCATCGACAACAACTCAAATGTTCACATTGTGTGCATTTTAAAGTGGATTTGGACTTTTAGCTTAGCATAATTTAGGATTAGTGAAGTGTTTCAACTATTTGTCCTTTTAGGATATTTAATTAGTACACATTTTAAGAGTTTATCAAATATATTGATTTGTTTATTCATTCTGACAGCTAAAAGTTTTACATAATAGCCATCCATGTGTTAATACTTTAAACTGCTAACTGTATGTTTTACCTAATAACATTCATCTGTTTATCTTTCATTTCATGCGGTCAGCTTATACTTGTAACCGTTTATCCATACTTTTATCCACCAATTCAACTCTAAAGCTATACTGTTAATAAGAATTTCAACTGCTAGCCACAGTTTTGCCTAGATCTTTGGGCAGCACGGTCGTGCCATCCAGGGACATTTTTGAAGTTTAAAGTCTTGTTTAGATTAGATGATCTTTCCCTGCAGAAATCTCCTGGGGTACTGATCACAGATGCAAATAACTGAAGAAGAGATTTAAGTTTCATTTTATGAAATGAGGCAGGTAGGGTGTTCACTGTTTCCTGAAAATTTCTGCAGTGTCTACATCTCAGAGCCTTCCTTCCAGCCGACCTCTTTAAAAAAGTAAAAAATTATGCACCCAAGCAAACATTTGCGTGCACACAGACTCACCAAGTGCCATTGGGAGCACTGTTGCTGGAGGAGTACATGCGTCCAGAGGGGGGTCTGTGTGAGGAGTCCTGGACTGGTTCTGGAAGATTGACCTTTCGGATCACCTTACCCGAGGTAGGCCTGACCTGCCTCCTCAGAGCTGTCACCTGACACACAGAGCTTACTTGTCACACCAAAAATGTGTAAACACAACATATACCGGACATATGCTTGCATCTACAGTCTCACAAGTACAATTAAAAAAACTTTAATCTGCTTCCTCTGTCAGAAATACTTTTTGATGCCTCTCACCTCCTCAGTCTTCCTCCTCAGAATAAGTTCCTGCTGTCTTTTCTGAGCTTCCAATAACTTCAGCTGATGCTGAGGAGGAAACATGAATATAGTATCATCAAAGAAAGTAATAAAAGTCATGGCACAGACCGTGATATAACTGCAGAAGTTGATAAACAGACTGTTACTAACCTCCTGCTTGCGCTGGTCCTTCTTCAAAGAAGCTATTTCTCGGTTTCTGCGAGACTCGTTCATCCTGTTCTTCTCCTGTTGCTCCTTCATCTGCTTCATAAGACGGACCTGGATAGATCATATTAAACAATATTGGGCTTAGTAACAGCACACATGTAAACTAGAGAGCCCGCATCTCCAGTTTATATGAGTGTCATATCTGGTACAGTTATATCTCCTTAGTCCATACCTTAGTCCTCTTCATTTCTGCCACATCCATCTGAAGCTTCTTCAGCTGTTTCTCGTACTGTGATTGGTTCTTGAGTAGGCGGGCATGCTCCTTCTGGGCCGACTGGAGCTTTTGAAGCTCCTTGTTCATGATGCTCAGCTTCTTCTCATATTCAGCCTTGATTTTGCGAGCCTTATCCTCTGTACCAGTTTCTACTGAACCTGAAAATATTTAGAAAAAATATAATACTATGACATTTTTTAAATCCAACACTGCTGTGGGACATGCTCCCCCAGCTGTGTGTGCCTGACTATCTGCAGGTGGACTAACTGAAATCTCAACATTAGGCTACCAAAAATAAAAATAAATAAATAAAATAAAAATACAAAACAGATTTTGTTTCATGTAAACCTATCTGAAGAAAGTGTTCGTGAACAGAATCACACTTTCACTTTGCAGACAACATGTTTTACACACAGTTGCTCAACTAGTCTGTGTGTGTGTGTGTGTGTGTGTGTGTGTGTGTGTGTGTGTGTGTGTGTATGCGCTTTTTAACAAAACTAATAAGTCTGGCTTTAAAATCCATTCTTTTAAAATCCGTCTAAGACAAACTTTGATGTATTAACTGTCCCCGTCTGCCAGCACACGTTCATAAACAGGTTTTTCATTATTAAAGAAAAACAAAGGCTCAGATCAAATAAGTAGGCTATAACGTGAATTCTTCCAAGCTTAATCAGAAATACCAAATATACTTTCTGTTTGAGATTGAAATAAGCTGATCAGAGATATGATGAACCAAACCCACAAGTGCCTCCTGGTGGATGATTTTATCCAAACTGTCAGAGCACATGTAAAATTATGTCTCACACTGCAGAGCTCTCCCCTCTGACTGATATGTGACCTCCCACTTCCCTCGTCGTCTTACTCATGTTTTGAAGGACGCGGTCCCTCTCCAGCTGGGTGTCTCGGATCTTGCACTGCAGCATCATCAGCTTCTGTTCGTACTGCTGTTTCAGTGTGTGTAGACGCCGCTGGCTGTTCTCCAGTTCGTCAATCAGCTTCTGCTTAATGGCAATCTCACAGGTGATGTTGGCCAGATCTGCCTGGTAATTCTCTGTGAGACACAGACGAGCTGATTAAGTATCGACATCCACAGGTACAGGCATAAATCTCAAGCAGTCCTTCTATATTGTTGTTAGAAGATCCATTTAAATAATCTTGGCAGATCATTGTCTGTACAATATTTACTTTTAGCATTGTATTTCCTTTATATTCAATTTGGTTTCTTTGTTCTTTTTAAACATAGATTAAAAAGTTTGCAGTTGTTTTTACTGCACTACAAAGTGCAGCCTTTTTAAAATGTATTTGTCCTGTTGAAGCTCACTTTAATAAACCTGACATAATTCTCAGTACAATTTTTCATTTACATGGATTCATTGACTTGGAAATACTTTCTTCAAGTTGAAAGAAAGGCAGATGTGCAATGTAAAAGTGAGGTCAGAGGTCAAATGTGATATGATATTTGGATACAAACTATAACGCGACATTTGAATTCCCATATATTCTTCCCAATATTCCTTTATGTTGTCAATACAAACAATGGCAGTATGAAAGAGTTTTAGACAGCTCTATGTAGCATTATTATCACTATGATTTTAAAATAAATGATTGACCTTGAAAGAGAGGTCAGAGGTCAAATGTGGCATGATATTTTAAATCTTTATACGGTACATTCTGTATGTTCACAATACACATCACGCCTGTAAAAAACACAGTTGGTAAGACCAACAAATCATTAAGCTGAGTTTAAAGACCTTGGTGGATGTAAGGCAAGTTTCAGTGGATAGTTAACATGACTCTACTCTATCCCAACAAAGTTTGATCAAAATTCATTCAAAACCTTGAGCTACTGTGTGTATAGGCACATGCAAATGCCACCAAAAACATCACTTTCTTGGTAAAGGTAATAAGCACCTGAGTCAGAATGAACAGAATGAGAGAAAATTCTCAGGTCACTCAGAAGAAAACTATCACATGAACAGTGGGTTCTCGAAGGTTTAATGATTTAGATGGCTGGCCTATGAGTGAGAGTCACAAGTATAAAGAGAACTTCAAACACATTTAAACAGGGTTCATAACATGTCTGTTTTCAGTTGCTAACAGTGTTGGTCAAGTTACTTGAAAAAAGTAATCAGTAACTAATTACTGATTACTTCCCCCAAAAAGTAATCCCGTTACTTTACTGATTACTTATTTTCAAAAGTAATT